GGGTTCCACCCCCCGCTTAGCCACTGCAGTGACGTCCCTCAGCGGAGCCAACTTCTAAAAGTTCCGATTTTGTGCTCTGCGTCTCTATCACTTGCCAGAAGCGGCCGACGGGGGCCCCCTCCCCCGCCATCTATCCCTCCGAATATCACCTCGGATTCACTTCTCCGCACATCCTACCTTCCAGTAAGTGGTCGCTTTTCTGTTCAGAGAGTTGTTGCTATTCTTCTCTTTGACCTCCTGTTGAGTTCATAGGTGTTCAGAATGGTTTGATCCCTATTCAGCTGAATTCCTGAGACCAGACGAAATCCAGGTCTCCTACTCCTCCGCCATCTTGCTCTGCCGTCTCCCGATATAGCTTTCCATTTATGTTTTAATTTTTTTAGCAACATTTTGTAGTTTCCAGTGTACATGTTTTTCATCTCCTTGGTTAAATTTATTCTTAAGTATTTTTTTGATACTGTTATAAATGGAATTGTTTTCTTAATTTCTCTTTCAGATTATTAGTGTAACATCTGACTCATTTCATTGGCCAAAGTAGTTACATGGCCAAACCCCAAATCAGGAGGTAGGAAATTAGAACCCACCCATCATCAAAGGCCACTGCAAAGTTACATGGCAAAATGAGTCAATGCAGGGAGGAATGAAGAATGGGGTTCTGTACCAATGATATCCCATAAAGAACTTCTTACAGTCAATTTTAGCATTATTTTTCCAGGGCCCTTCAAAATAGTCTGCTCCAAGCACTTCAACCAAACAATTACTGTGAAAATGTTAAATAAAAGGGGGGGAGGGGGGACAAAAGGAATGAGCAAAGGAAGGGGATAACAAGATGCCTGGGTAAATTGCTGGTGCCCAGCTGAACAAGTAGCAGGTATGGAAGAAAGAACACAAGGCAAGGAATCAGAAGGCCTGTCACTTGATCTTAGGAAAGCATCTTAACATCTCTGGGCCTCAGTTTCTTCCTCTGGCATTAGGCTAGACAATCTCTAAGGACCTTATCTGTGTTAACCCTGCATCCTATACAAATTCTAACAGTGTTTCCCCCAGAATAGAAAACAAAGTCAACATTGGAAAATTCCTTCTCTTACAGATCCATAGGCACACACATCCATGCAGGTAGCCATTCTTTTGTCTCACAGATCTCATCATTTTCTGCCTTACATCTCAGTTTTATTAGTGTGCTTTGTTTTTTATCCAATACCAGCTAGAATCTCCTTGCAAGAGGGAAGGTAGTCCTATCTTATCTAGCCCAGAACAGTAGGCACAAAATCAATATTTTTTTAACTGAATTGAGGGAAAGCCACCACTGTCTTTAATTTTGAATGATTTATCATGTGTTTTAAACTCCTATATATTGACAGGATCATATGGTTCTTATTCTTCCTTTTACTAATATGGTGTATCACATTGATTGATTAGCAAATATTAAACCACCCTTGCATCCCAGAAATAAATCCTACTTGATCATGGTGAATAATTCTTTTAATGTACTGTTGAATTCAATCTGCTAGTATTTTGTTGAGAATTTTTGCATCCGTGTTCGTCGAGGATATTGACCTGTAATTCTCCTTTTTAGTGGAATCTTTGTCTGGTTTTGTAATCAAGGTAATGCTGTCTTCATAGAATACAGCAACCTTTCCTGATAAAAACCCTCAACAAAGTAGGGATAGATAGAACATACCTCAACATCATAAAGACCATATATGAAAGACCCAGCTAGTATCATCCTCCTGAGAGCCTTTCCCCTATGGTCAGGAACAAGACAAGAATGTCCACTCCTACCATTACTATTTCACAGAGTAAGGGGAGACTTAACCTCAGCAATCAGACAACAAAAAGAAATAAAAATCATCCAAATTGGCAAAGAAGAAGTCAAACTTTCACTGTCTAAAGATGACATGACACTCTATGTAGAAAACCCAAAAGACTCCACCAAAAAATTGTTGGAGCTCATACATAAATTCAGCAAAGTCACAGGATATAAAATAAGGGGGGGGGGAATCGGAGGAGGAGATGAATCATGAGAGACTATGGACTCTGAGAAACAAACTGAGGGTTCTAGAGGGGAGGGGGTGGGGGGATGGGTTAGCCCGGTGATGGGTATTAAAGACGGCACGTTCTGCATGAAGCACTGGATGTTATACACAAACAATGAATCATGGAACAGTACATCAAAAACTAATGGTGTAATGTATGGTGATTAACATAACATAATAAAAAAAATCAGTGTGCAGAAATCTGTTCCATTTTTATATACCAATAACAAAGCAGAAAAAGAAATCAAGGAATTGATCCCATTTGCAATTGCACCAAAAATAATAATATACCTAGGAGTAATCTAACTAAAGGAGTAAAAGATCTAATGATGTACTATATGTTGGCTAATTGAATTTAACTAATAAAAAGAAAGATGCATTCTAAGAAAAAAAAGTAAAAGATCTATACACTGAAAACTATAGAACACATAGGAAAGAAATTGAAAAGGACACAAAGAAAGGGAAAGCAGTCCATGCTCATGGATCAGAAGAACTTTGTTAAAATGGCTATACTACCCAAAGCAATCTACACATTTAATGCAATCCCCATCAAAATACCAGCAGCATTTTTCACAGAGCTAGAACAAACAGTCCTAAAATTTGTATGGAACCACAAAAGATCCCAAATAGCCAAAGCAATTCTGAAAAACGAAAACAAAACTGGAGGCCTCATGATTCTGGATTTCAAATATATTACAAAGCTGTAGTCATCAAGACAGCATGGTACTGACACAAAAACAGACACACAGATCAATGGGACAGAATAGAGAACCCAGAAATGGGCCCACAACTATATGTTCAACTAATCTTCTACAAAGCAGGAAAGAATATCCAATAGAAAAAAAGAGTCTCTTCAACAAATGGTGTTGGGAAAACTGGACAGCAACATGCAGAAGAATGAAGCTGGACCACTTTCTTATACCATACACAAAAATAAATTCAAAATGGATGAAAGACCTTAATGTGAGACAGGAAACCATCAAAATCCTAAAGGAGAACAAAGACAGAAACTTCTTTGACCTTATCCATAGCAATTTCTTACTAGACAAGTCACCACAGGTAAGGGAAACAAAAGGAAAAATGAGCTATTGGGACTTCATCAAGATAATAAGCATCTGCACAGCAAAGGAAACAACAAAACTAAAAGACAACCTACAGAATGGGAGAAAATATTTGCAAACAACATATCTGATAAAGGGTTAGTATCCAAAATCTACAAAGAACTTCTCAAACTCAACACCCAAAAAATAAATAACACAGTTAAGAAATGGGCAGAAGACGTGAATAGACACTTTTCCAAAAAGACATCCACATAGCTACCAGATACAACACTCATCATCAGGGAAATACAAATCAAAACCACTATGAGATATCATCTTACACCTGTCAGGATGGCTAAAATTACAACACAAGAAACAACAGATGTTGACAAGGATGCAGAGAAAGGGGAACCCTCTTGCACTGTTGGTGGGAATGCAAACTGGTGCAGCCACTGTAGAGAATTTCCTCAAAATGTTAAAAATAGAACTACCCTATGATCCATCAATTGCGCTACTTACTAGGTATTTACCCAAAGGATACAAAAATACAGATTCGAAGGGATACATGCACCCCAGTGTTCACAGCAGCATTATCATCAATAGCCAAACTATGGAGAGAGTCCAAATGTCCATCCACTGATGAATGGGTAAAGAAGAGGTGGTACACACACACACACACACACACACACACACACACACACACACAATGGAATATTACTCAGCCATTAAAAAGAATGAAATCATGCCATTTACAATGACATGGATGAGCTAGAGTGTATTATGCTAAGTGAAATCAGTCAGTCAGAGAAAGATACTATAGGATCTCACTCAGATGTGGAATTTAATAAAGAAAACAGATGAACATATGGGAAGGGAGAAAAGAAAAGGAGAGAGGGAAACAAGCTAAAAGGCATTCCTAATGATAGAGCACAAACAGGGTTGATGGAGGGAGGTGGGTGGTCCATGGGCTAGATGGGTGATGGACATTAAGGAGGGCAGTTGTGATGATGAGCACCGAGTGTTGTATGTAAGTGATGAATGACTGAATTCTACTCCTGAAACCAATATTGCACTGTATGTTAACTACCTAAAATTTAAATTTAAAAAAAATAAAAAATAAAAAGTAAACTTCCAAATAAATTATCTGTGAAAGCTAAGTTGTTGAGGATACAACAGCAAATTCAGCAAGTACTCTGAATTTAAAGAAAATTAGTTTTTTCTTACAACTGCAATCAGTTTACTTTAATAATTCTCTGCTACAAACCTTGGGTAGACACAATACCTAAGTTTAATATTTTAGAATTTTAATGTATCAAAGTATGTTCCGTGACTACATAGATAGGTACATGTCCAATGCAGGCTTGGTAAGAGTTGTTAGAAGGCCAAGGTTCTTGACTGACAGAAAAATGAAATCAGTGTTTACCATTGTTTTCCTAGATTCTGTTGAAAAATTTTGGCTTGAAAACCACATACACAGTAAAACAGTGGCAAAGATTAGACTTTGACCACTTAAAATTTGATTCTTAACTATTACTATATAGCATTTTTTTCCAACTCACTGCATTTGAAGTGATTTCTTTAGTATAAAATAAGTATAGGAACTAATTAACTTGGAAAATGTTCAATGAGTGAATATTAATTGCTTCATTTTTTTAAAAGTTCGTACAAGGACATAGAAACAGGCACTTTGTGTACTCCAAGAATTTTTCCTTAATTGAATGAATATTAGTCACCTTCCCAGAATTCCTGAGTAGAAACATCTATTGGCCTGGAAATGGCACGCATAAGAAAAATGCCATTGGTAGGGAGACTACACCGTATGTGTGGCTTCTAAGCCACAGAGACACTAAAACAACTCGTCAGATACATATCCCCATTTCACTTTATTAATGGCTTCTCTCTCTCTCTCTTCCTCTCCTTCTAGGCTGTCCCATCAAAGGTCACCCTACCCCCAATATTACCTGGTTCCATGGTGATAAGCCAGTCACCACTGTCCCAGGACTGACACATCATATCTTGGCAGCTGGACAGATTCTTCAGGTTGCAAATCTTAGTGGCGGGTCTCAAGGGGAATTCAGCTGCCTTGCTCAGAATGAGGCAGGAATGCTTGTGCAGAAGGCCTCTTTAGTGATCCAAGGTAAGAAACCCTTCAGGCTTTGGAGCCAGGCTTAGTTCTTGAATAAGAAAGTCCACCTGAGAATCCAATTCTCTAGTAAAACAAAGTGATTTCTGATCTCAGTGGCTCATAGAGCATGAAAATCAAAGCGGAACCATGTCTCCATACAATGAGGCCCTTCAGAAGAGCCGCCAGGCTCCATCCCAGCAGAATCTGGAAAAGTCAGTGGGCCCTTTTGCTTCATCATGTTGCTGCCGCTAAGGACTGAGGAAACATGATGATATAGCAAAGCCAAGAATTTATGCTTGCTTAACTAATAAGAATCACACATTCACATACACACACACACACACACCTACATGCATGCAAGCACACGCATGCATGCGTGCAAAGTAGCCTGTTAAACTAATGCAAGTTTTCTCTGTTGGTTTGGTTAAAAAAAAAAAAACCTCTTGATCCGAACTGCTTGGCAATTGCCTTCTCTCCTGGAGAGTCAGGCTGGTGCCAGTACCTACTTATCGTGCTAAAGAGTCTTCAGCTGCAGTCATGTGCTAAGCGTTTTGCCGGCATTCTCTGTGGTTTGTGCATTAACCTTCCGGGAACACAGGCAGGACAGAAAGCCCTTGGGAGAGGCCTAGCTTTAGCTACACCAAGAAAAGATCGTGAATGAACCCAAAACAGTGGGAAACAAACCCAAACTGGGCCTTGTTATAGAAACTGAGTGAGGCTTTCAAGTTTTCCTTAGGCTATTTCTACCTGTGGCCCATGGGTGACTATTTTTAGGGAAAACAAAATTCTATTTCATGCATTCTAAAATGGGGGATTCTGCGGGAAGGGAGAGAATTTTGTGCCACTGTAGCACACGAGGAGGGAGCAAATGGGTTTTCCCCCCTTAAACATCCTCCCCTGCCATATGGCTTTCTGGACAGGAAAGTAAATGTTCCATTTTCTTGCCAACCCGCCATTCTCTGCTGAAAACCAGAAGCCGGTGCCTATCTGCAAGATTTGTAATATACAACCTTGCAAATGAGCACTCACAGTTTACCAGCCCACAGTTATTTTTAACAGCTTTCCTCCCAGTGAGTCCCAGACCCCCAAACAGAAAATCCACAGAAATTGAATTTCTTCCTGACGTCATTGTCACATGTAAATGAGTGCTCTCTGGGTAGGCTGTTTTTTCGGTGACATTTCCAAAGTTCAGCTCAAATGTGCACGTACAAATGTGACTGTTAAGTATCTCCAATATTTTTGTATCTCTTTGTTGAAAAAGAAAGTCACTTTCTGGTGACCCACTAGGAAGGAAAAGTACTTTGGAAGTGCATTTAGAAATAAGGACTACAGCCACTGGTTAAGTACGCTGTATGTGCCAGTCACCGGGCTCCGCCCTTTGCTTTCATGATATCCAGTCCTCACAGTAACTTTGCAAGGTAGGGGTCTTGTACTCACTTCATGGATAAGCCAACTGAGGCTCCTAGACACCATGCCACTTGGCTACCTAAGTTGGGAAGGGAGCCCACTGAAGGACAGAGTGTCATTCTCTAGAGCTCTTCGTGCCCACAGAGCATGGGCACTAATGCATGCAAGCCTCTTTTCACCTCTGATTCTCTTCCTGTGACAGATTACTGGTGGTCTGTGGACAGACTGGCAGCCTGCTCAGCCTCCTGTGGTAACAGGGGCATTCAGCAGCCCCGCCTGAGGTGTCTCTTGAACAGCACAGAGGTCAACCCCACTCACTGTGCAGGGAAGGTGCGCCCTGCTGTGCAGCCCGTCGCCTGCAACCGGAGAGACTGTCCTTCTCGGTGAGTGTGGCAGGCACTGGCTCAGGCCTCCCCGACCCCCACGCTGGGCCCTGACTTTTAGTCAAGTCGGTGGCTAGCCTCTGTCCAGTACTGCGTAGGGAGAGACAGGGAATGCGGGCAAGGGGGCCTGCCATCCAAGGCACTGTTCTTTTCTATAGGCCCCGACTTGCCAGGCCTCTCCACCCTGCAGAAAATATCCCTCAGAATGGGCCTCCTCCCTCGGCAGTTTGTTCCCTCACCACTCAGCGGGCTGGGGACTGCCTGGGGCATCCCAAGTGCCTGAGAAGGTCTGTTCAGGGAGCAGGAACATCCCAGGCCCTAGCCAGAGCTCACTGACATCCTGCAATAAGAAATTTGCTCCCTAGGGGTGCCTGGGTGACTCAGTCATTGGGTGTCTGCCTTCAGCTTCAATCATGATCCCAGGATCCTGGGATCGAGTCCTGCATCGGGCTCCCCGCTCAGTGGGGAGCCTGCTTCTCCCTCTCCCTCTCCCTGCTGCTCTCCCTACTTGTGCTCTCTCTCTCTCTCTCTCTCTCTCTCTGTCAAATAAATAAATCTTTAAGAAAAAGAAAAAAGAAAGGAAAGGGAAGGAAGGAAGAAGAGAGAGAGAGAGGAAGGAAGGAAGGAAGGAAGCTCTCTAGTTTGCTAGTAAAAGGGTAACTGTGTTTGCAGTTAAGGTGTTGAGGGGATAGGGGTTACTGGCCTCGACCGCAGCTCCTCCCTTTCTTCTAACTTCAGAAACCATGCTAATGGGCACTCTAGTTTAGGTGAGGGAATCTTACCCTCTTCTTTTCTTCGAAGGGGGATGCATCCTGAGGAAGTCAAAACAAATCTTCATTTTCTATAGTTGCCTCCATGTTGGATATACGTTCTCTGCCTCTGGCCCCAGAATGACACCCACCGTCTCTGCTCCTTACAGCTTTGAGAAGCTGTGAGTCCCACAGAGCACCCTTCCCTCGGTTTGCAGGCAGTCGCTAAAGGGATAATGGATGGGCTCAGAGGTGGCACCAGCATGGCATCCTGAGCCTGGGGGGACTTGGCTGGGCCTCACGATGCCCCCTTCCTACCTGTCTGTGGGACTTTCATGCACTGCTCAGGCACCCGCTTTGTGTTTTGCCAGCTGAGTCACAAGGAGCAGCTGAAACCAGGAGAGACTCAATGAAATATGAAACATGCTCATTAATATCAGCAGTTTGACTTGCTGACGGGAAGGTTTCCATGGGAATGATTAATGTCCTTTTATACCCTTCCTGAACTGTAACATAGCCATACCTCGCCTTTCTCAAACCCCCCACCCCAGCTCCTGAAAAATTGCTGAAATGTATATTTGGAAATAAAAGTTGATTGAAATGCAGGCCTGACATTCACCGGGGATATAAGGGGCTGGAAGACTGCCCTCACCAAGCTATTTGAAATGAAGACCAAGTTTCGGACGTGCCAAGGACTTTTTGATTTGCTGCGGTGATGGTCAGAGTCAATCAGGCTCATTTACTTCTGCAAATGAAATAATGGCCATGTCGGCTTGGGTTTCAGTGCCCCCAGGAGCTTTACACCACCTCGTGCCTGCTTCCTAAGTGGCTCTGCTCCTGGGGGTTGGAGATCTGCACACAGTCATCTCTCTCCAGGGCCAATGGATCAGGGGGGGTTCCATCAAACTAAATAAGTCACAGATCCAGATTCAAAAGGAATTTGCTCCCTGTCTCTGCTACTTGCCTCTCCTTTGACTGGTTTCCCTGCCCGGCTTCTCGGGCACCTCAGCAGCCTTCTCTGAGCACAAACAAGGATCGTCCTGGTTGTCTCTGAACAGGGCTGGGGAGTCCTGCTTTGACCCAAGTGACCGTTCCGCCATTTCATTTAGATAAACTTTGTCCCAGGCATTAAAACCCAAGAATGGTCTTTTTCCCTAGATTGAATAAGATGGCTGGAACACCCCAAGGCTTTTCTGTTTCCCCCAAACTGTCCCCCTTTCCCCTTCTCTTTGAGAACTAGCCCACAGTGCAAACATTCACACAGAGCCCCTATGGGTTTGTATCTGGACCAAGGATTCCAGCGTGTTCCCCAAATTCCAGCTTGGCTTTATGAGAGAAGACATTTGTGCAGTCCTGCTCAGTCTCACTTCTGACGATCCAAATTGTAGCCAGAACCTAACATTCTGAGAAAGGACATTCTCCACATATGCAGCCCTCGAGGAGGTGTAAGGCCTATGCGCTGTGACTCATGGGAAACTACTCCACAAAGGCAGAAGGAACTTTGCCTATTTCTCAGGGATTCAACAAAATCCAGTGAGACATGGGTTAAGGAAGGTAGAAGAGAGAATGAGTACTAGCAGACAAAACACTGACTCAAGGGAGAGCCAGAGACACAGTTTGGATCTGACTTCCCTAGGAGACTGTCCCCCTTCTGCCATGCACTCGGACGGCTCAGGAAGTCCCAGAACCACAGTGCAGCATAACTAGCTAAAGGACTGTCTTCCCAGAGTGTTCCCTCCGCAGGCTCGCGGCTTTGGGGGCCAGCATCACGAGTGAGACAAGTGATGTTCAGACCACTCTTTCAAGATGCACCTTTGCAGGCAGTTTCCAAAGGGTATTTGTTTTCTGTGGCTGCAAATTACCACAAACATGGTGGCTGAAAAGAATAGACATTTATTTTCTCACAGTTTGGAAGGCCAGAAATCCACAATCAAGATGTCAGCAGGGCTGCACCCCTTGCAACTTTCTCAAGCCTTGCCACCTTCTGGTGGCTCCAGGCATCCCTCAGCTCGTGGCCACATCACTCCAGCCTCTGCCTCGGTGGTAACACTGTCTCCTCCTGATAATCTCTCTTTCTCTTCTAAGGACATTTGTGAAGGCAGATAATGTAGGATAATCACGTCTCAAAGTCCTTAATTATATCTGCAAAGCCCCTTTGTCCAAATATGGTAACATTCCCAGCTTCCGGGGATCTGATGTAGATATCTTTTGGGGGACCATTTTCAGCCTTCCACTCCATGTCTACCATGCCCTGAGATTAGCAGCTGTGTGGTGAGAATAAGGGGATGTCCAGGCTCTTTTTCTGAGAATATATGACATCATTCCTCTGCCCAAGCCTGACCCTTTGCTCTTCCTCTCCCCAGGTGGATGGTGACCTCCTGGTCGGCCTGTACCCGGAGCTGTGGGGGAGGCGTCCAGACCCGCCGGGTGACCTGCCAGAAGCTGAAAGCCTCTGGGATCTCCACCCCTGTGTCCAATGATCTGTGTACACAGCTCGCCAAACGGCCAGTAGACACCCAGGCCTGTAACCAACAGCTCTGCGTGGAGTGGGCCTTCTCCAGCTGGGGCCAGGTGAGAGGATTCTATTTGAAAGATAAATCTAAAGGTGCCGACCCTGCTACAGTAGAAAGTAAAAGTCCACCACTGCCACATCTTCTGTGATGTCAGACCTTTCGCATCCTGTCTGTCAATCAACTCACCTGCCCAGTGTCCTTCCAAAAGCTTAGAGTTTCTGATGCTTCTTCTCTAACACGAACATACGTTCCCACAGCCATTACACTTTCCCTATTGATTTCCCTCCCGACCAAGCTCATCCCTTTCTGAGATTCTTAGCGAATCTTCAGCAACCCCTTCTTCAGACTCATTTTCTGTAAGGCCACCTCTTTCCACTGGCTGTCCTATGGCTGATGATTTAAAGCTCTGATGAGATCCATCTGGGGGGTGCAGGGTTGTTTTGGGCCAGGGGTTCTCAAATGGGCTAGAAATTGGAGAAACTTCTTTAAAAGACCAATGTCCAGGCTGCATCTCCCTGAGATCCTAAGTCAGTTGCTCAGGGGTAGGATCGGAGCATGGGCAATTTTCGAAACTACGCGGGAGATTCTGGTATGCAGCCAGCGTAGAGAACCACTCTTCGGAGCCAAGAAGAGTTGAAGCCTAGCTGGATCACTTTGAAACCACCAACTCCTTTCTCAATTCTCAGCCAGAGGATGGCCAAAAAAGTCCCAGGTTCGCTCAACACACAGCAGAAATGGGGGCACATAGGACCCCAGTAGGGATGGGGCCTCTTTTGGATATAGGAAGGAACCACAGGACTCTGTCCATTTGAAAAGGAAATTTTATGGTTAGTTATGACTTAAAAAAATTTACACAGACGGCAGATTCTCTATGGGAAGAACAAACCTGAGCAATGATGGACACTATGCCATGACGGAAGCAGCCTCAGAAGGATGGGAGGTGCCAATAGTCACCATACCATTGATCTCACATTATTTCTGCGCCGGTGGGACTGAGCACCAGTCAGGAATTTGCATTGTAACTAGAGGCCTAGGCTTTCCCCACTGCAGGTACATAGGCTGTTTAGAGAGAGAGAGAGTTTTCCTACTCATCTGACCCCTTCTCTGTTTTAGAATGTTGTTGGCACTAAAAAAACAATCCAGTGTGGTGCTTGGGGGAAGTGACGTAATGGCGTATGCACGGTTCCCTTCAAAGTCTGTGTTCAGAACCTACTGGGGACCTACTTAGCATCTAAGAGCTGTCTGCCAGGGCTGATAATCAGCTAGTACCCACCCCACCAACGGTGTGGTGACATCTGTTGTTTGTCAGAGGCTGGCACTAATTGCTAGGCTAACCATTCTGATTGGTCAGGCATAGTTTGTGATTGGTTGGTTTCTGAAACATGCCATTAAGCTTGGCCTGCTGGGACAGCCCAAAACTACCACAAGGCTCTTAATTCTTTGTAACTGTACAAACTAATATGACGGAATGTCTTGGGCAGCTAGCAACTCGAAACATGTTGGAACTGGCTGTCTACATATTACTGTATTCATGTTCCTCCGTCCCCACCCCGAGGTGTGTTCTTTGAAAAACAGTCACTTGGAATTTCCCATTAAGTTAATATACTGTGGCCATCTCTAATGAAGATCAAATGTTATTTGGAGGAAATCTGGCCACAGAATTCACTTGCAATCCATAAGCCATTTGTGTCCCAGGTGAGTCCAGGGATAATGCTCAACACCAGCCAATCAACACACTCGGCCTGAGGCTCCTTTTTGGCACCTTTACCAACCCCCCTCATTTCCAGTGACCTAATGTATGTGCTTCATAATCAAAGAGGCATGAGCTCCCTTTTGCTCTGATGCCTGGGGGATATCATCTTGCTCTTACCTGGAAAAGCCCACTTCTGCTAGCTTTCATTCTGCCCAAGGCAGCTCTGCTTCTAGGCCCTCCAGGCTTACTGGCAGTTTGTGAAATTACAATTAGGAACAGACCTGGCTTCACACGGGAGATGTTTCTGCATTGTATCACGAGGTCACTAAAGGGGACATACATTGTGCACGTTGATCATTCTCAGTGATTACTTTTTCTAAAAGAGAGAAAAAAGGTCCTTCCCCCCTTTCTTGCCTTCAAACAACACTCTCATCCCCTTCTTTCTTCTAAAACCCTCTAGGCAAGTATGTCTCAAGCTTTAATGTGAATCACTTGTGGATCTTGTTAAAAATGCAAATTCTGATATGGCAGGTCTGGAGCAGAGCCTTAGTAATGAATTTTTTTATTGAGGTATAATTGACATATACCCATTATATTAATTTCAGGGGTGTAACATGATTTGATATTTGTATACATTGCAAAATGATCACAATAAATCTAACATCCATCACCATACATACTTAGAAAAAGACTTTTTCTTGTGATTTTAAGATCGATTCTCAGCAACTTTAAGATATACAATACAGTATTGACTATAGTCACCATGCTGTACCTTGCATCTCCAGGACATGTTTATTTCATAACTGGAAGTTTGCACGTTTTGACCCTTTCCACATATTTCACCTACCCCCACCCCCCACCTCTGGCAACCAAGTCTATTCTCTGCATTTATTATGGTTTGCAGGGAGGGGTTGTTGTTGTTTAAATTTCACATATGAAATTACACAGTATTTGTCTGTCTGCCTTATTTGACTTTTGTGCCCTCAAGGTCTATACATGCCATCACTAATGGAAAGATGTCATTCTTTTTTATGGCTAAATAATATTCCTGTGTGTGTGTGTGTGTGTGTGTGTGTGTACACACCACATTTCCTTTATCCATTCATCCACTGATGGATACTTAGGTTGTTCCATATCTTGACTGTTGTAAATAATGCTGCAATGAACATGAGGGTCATATATCCTTTCAAGTTAGTGTTTTCATTTTTTTTAATCAATACCCAGAAATAGAATTGCTGGTTGATATGGTACTTCTGTTTTAAATTTTTGAGGAACCTACATACTGGTTTTTATAGTGGCTGCACCAATTTACATTCTCACCAACAGTGCATAATGGTTCCCTTTGCTCCACATCCTCACCAACATTTATTTCTTGTCTTTTTGGTAGTGGCTATTCTAACAGGAATGAGGTGATATCCCATTGTGGTTTTGATTTGTATTTCACCGATGCTTGGTAACCTTGAGCACATTTTCATGCACCTGTTGACCATCTGTATGTCTTCTTGGGGAAAATGTCTCTTCAGATCCTCTGCCTTTTTAAAATTGCATTGTTTGGTTTTCTGCTATTGAGTTGTAAAAGTTCTTTATGTATTTTGGATATTAACCCCTTATATGATTTGCAAATATCTTCTCCCATTCAGTAGGTTGCCTTTTCATTTTGTTGATGGTTTCCTTTGCCGGTGTAGTCCCACTTGTTTACTTTTGCTTATGATGCCTTTGCTTTTCCTGTCAGATTCAAAATATAATTGCCAAGAATGATGTCAAAGAGCTTACTGCCTGTGTGTTCTTGGATTTCTGTGATTTCAAAAATTATGTTCAAGTCTTTAATCCATTTTGAATGGAATTTTCTGTATGCTGTAAGAGCAGTCCAATTTCATTGTTTTGTATCTGGCGATCTAGTTTTCCCAGCACCATTTATTGAAGAGACTGTCCTTCCTCCCTTGTATATTCGTGGCTCCTTTGTCATAAATTAATTAACTATATATGTGTGGGTCGAATTCTGGGCTCTCTATTCTGTTCCAGTGACCTGTGTGTCTGGTTTTATGCCAAACCATACTGTTTTGATTACTATAACTTTTTAATAGTTTGTAAGCAGGGAGCATGATGCCTCCAGCTTTTGTGTTCTCTCTCAAGATTGCTTTGGCTATTTGGGGTCTTTTGTGGTTACATAAAAATTTTAAGATTAATTTTTCTATTTCTGTGAAAAATGTCATTGGAATTTTGACAGGAGTTGCATTTAATGTGTAGATTGTTTTGAGTAGTATGAACATTTTAACAGTATTGATTCATCCAGTCCATGAACACAGAATGTCTACTTGCATCTTCTTCAGTTTCTTTCACTCGTGTCATAGTTTTCAGTTTATGGGTCTTTTACCTCCTTGACTAAATTTATTCCAGATATTTCTTTTTGATACAATTATAAATGGGATTATTTTAATTTCTCTGAATTTGTTATTAGTCTAGAAATACAATAGACTTTTTTTATTGATTGCATATCCTACAATTTCACTGATTGGTTTGTTCTAAATGGTTTTGGGGGCTCTTTAAGGTTTTCTATATAAAATGTCATCTGCTCGTATAGTGACAGTTTTACTTCTTCCTTTCTAATTTGGATGCCTTTTATTTCTTTCTCTTGACTAATTGCTCTGACTAGGACTGCCTATACTATATTGAGTAAAAGTAACAAAAGTGGGCATCCTTGTCTCGTTTCTGATCTTGGAGGAAAGGCATTCAGCTTTTCACCTTTGAATATGTTACCTATGGGCTTGTCATAGGAATTATTTTGTTGAGGTACATTCCCTCTATGCCTACTTTTTTTGCTATTTTATTTTTTATGATTCAAGTATAGTGACATACAATGTTATATTAGTTTCAGGTGTACAACATAGTGATCCCACAATTCTATACACTACTCAATGTTCACCACAATAAGTGCAGTCACCACTTGTCACCATACATTACAATATTATTGATTGTATTCCTTTATGATGTACTTTTCATCTCCATGATTTGTGTTTTATAACTGAAAGTTTGTACTTCTTAATCCCTTTCATCTATTTTGCCCATCACCCCACTCACCTCCCCTGTGGCTATCAACAGTTCTCTGTATTTAACTGTCTGGCTTTTGTTTGGTTTGGTTTGTTTTTCAGATTCCACATTTAAGTCAAATCATATGCTATCTGTCTTTCTCTGTCTCACTTGTTTCACATAGTGTAATATCCTCTGTTATTTTTTATATTAACCCCTTATTGGATATATTATTTGCAAATGTCTTCTCCCATTCACTAGGTTGCCTTTTTGTTGATGGTTTCCTTGACTGTGCAAAAGCTTTTTATTTTGGTGTAACCTCAGTCATTTATTTTTGC